AGCAGGATCTTGCTTGGCGGCTGCCGCTTGCTGGCCAGGCCGGCCCTTCGCCCTGTGTTTGACAAAGACATTCCGATGCCTTTTCCGGTGTCGCGGGATCCTGGGATCCTGAAAATTATCCGATGTATTGGAGTTAATGAGGGAGGGACATCAAGAGGAAGACTTACTTTGATCATCCCTGAAGTCGGCTCCTGTGTGGGAGGATTGACTCTTGCAGGTGCTGCTGGATGCCTTTCAGCGTGAGCTGGAGGCTATGTGCAAATTGGGTTATGCCGACAGATCCCCATTTCCTTCTATTTGCAGATTCCTTCACGCACACATTCAGCAACTTGCGGCTGCACATATCCCTTCAAGTGCAGGACCTCCAGGAGCAGAAGCCAGCGAGACGAAGTTGGTTGCAAACATTTGAGGCATTCTTCTTGACTTGCCAAGAAATTGATGATGAAGACAATCATTGCACATGCCATCAAATTATATACATGTTCCTTTTGCATTGGTTTCACCATTGAGATTGAGTCTTTTCTGATCTTTGCTTGGGCTCTGTTGTCTTCGAGGCCTATTCTCGGGTGATGTTTTCATCAGCATGCGAGGCCATGCCCGTTGTGCCATAGCTCATCATGACTTTCCCCACCACAGCAAGCTGGTACTGTTCAATGAGAACCTTATATTAGATTTCCTGCCCGTCACTGGGGGCTTGGGGGAGGCTGTTTTGGAACTACGCCCAAAGCACATGCCATCAATGAGGGTCCCTGCGCAAACAATGCCTGGACCTCAGTATCGAGCGCGAGCAACCTAATCCCACAGACACTGAAGTAAAGAGGGGCTGTTTGCGGCACTTATTAATGCCCTAATGCGATTTTCTGTTTTTGAGCAAGTGTACCCCACACCGTGCTTGGCTGCCGCCATGTAAATGTGCTTCTATCAAATCGTGCACTGCACGGATCTAGGAAAAGGCGAAGGGAGGTTTGGGCACAGACAGGGCACACACATTTACGCTGAAGCAACATGATACCGTAGGCTGGTGGGTGAACCCAGGCAGATCCAGCCTGCAGTGTTCGAATGAACGTGTTTTTATCACGAAAGGTAGCGGTTACGCTACCTGAGTTTTCCTTTTGCTTTAGCAAAAATGAATTATAACCAGAGTGGACACCCATCTCACTGAGAAATCGCCTCCGAAATTTACTTTTAAGGGCCGAGAGCGGGGGGGGCCCCCTCCCCACTTTCAACTCCACCCTGGCGCGGGTCTTTGTCAACAGCTACAAAACACTGTAAATAGCAGTGTCTTCAGCTCCTCCAGTCTGCAAGAGTCATTGTTGGCCTCAAACCACGCAATTGACATGGTTTTCTGTGCCTGTCCGGCCAAAAACCTCGTAAAAACCGATGGTTTTTGAAGTGTCCAGGCTTCAAAAATGGTCGAAACATGGCCAAAAACCTGGAACGATTTTGTCGGAAAGGGCTTTTTCGGCGTTTGGAGGCTTCTAAATGGCACAAAACGACGGTATTTACACGGGTTTGTGCGCCTTCCCGGCACAAAACCCTGTAAATTGCGATGGTTTTGGGCTGTGTACGCTTCAAAGTGGCCACAAAACACCGTAGATACTAGTGTTTTCATGTGTTTTCAGCTCCTCCTATCTTCAAGAGTGGCCTCAAACCACGCTATTTGCAGGGTTTTTTGTGGCAGAAAGGGCTTTTGCGGTGCTTAGAGGCATCAAAGTGGCACAAAGCGACGGTACTTACACGGGCTTCTGCACCTTCCTGCCACAAAGCCCTGTATATTGGGATGGTTTCAAGCTATGTACGCTTCAAAGTAACACCGTGAATACCATTAATGCCAGTGTTTCCAGGCTTTCGTTCACCCCCTCCTCTCTCAAGTTTAGCAAGGCGGGGTGTTAGGTGCAATATACATATTATATAATATATATATATGGCTCCAACACACTTCAGAGTCACTGCCATGCCGCATGCCTCCAAATTCATGCCAGTGTTTTGTTTGACCACGATCAACAGCACTTTGCAGATGTACTCGTAGATTACGCAATACGAGCAGCAACTCCCCAGTCAAGGTCAGGTTGCCAGACTGATGCCGTTTTGCTAAATGCCACGTTTCTCCTTTACTTGTTGTAGCATGTTGTAGCTGACCACACCACACTAACATGAGCACTGTTGTCAAGCCACATTCTTGGCGGTACTTGCTTCACACAGCATGCGCTCGAGAGAAACCTGCAGCATAGTGCTATCGGAGCTGAGGTTTGCGGAGGGTCGCCCACCACGCCTCAATTCCAGAGGCAATAGCCCTGCACCACCTGCGAAGGCCACTTCACATGGTGGAACTGAGGTGAAAAGATTCAGCATCTTGCTCTACATGACTTTTGGACAAACTTTGACTCAGTTCGACTCTTTCTACGCAATAGCCACCTGAAAAGCTGAGTTCTGACTTTCTGCAGGCTTCCTCTGGCCAAGGCGATGGGTGTGGGGTGGCCGACATTTCTTCAACAAAGTCCCACAGTCCAGACATGGATAGCAAAGAGAGCTCAGTTGAACATGTTGTACTTTCCATTTAAATATATAGCACGTGCATGCTGCGGTGAGTTTGTGCTCACTCATCCATAACCTGATTTGCACGATTGTCCTACCACATGCAGCATGGCCCAAATACACAAATCAACCGGCAGCACACCATGCTAGGCCGGAGCAGCAGCCTTCCCAGACCACCGAAGGCCAGCCCTGACGACAAAGGAGACCTTTTCCAGGCACTAGCATGTTGTCAAAGTTTGAACTTGAAGTCTTCAGACTCCTTTGCAGGAGCCGACGGCACAGAACCTGACCATGGAAACAGTGCCCCATTGTTGCCTGAGGTGCGGCAGACCAAGGCTTTGATATCATTTGCAAAACCTGATGCCTGATAGCCGCAACACGTCGATAATATATATTATATATACTATTATATACTGGTACATACTTGGGTGTAGATGATTTCAAGAGGACAGTGCTCATCTGCTTTAGTTGCAAATTGTTAGTCAAGATTATTGTTGTTTAGTATTTCAATCTCATTAAACAAGGTTTCTCATTGACCTATATAGATTTCTTCTTGCTGATCTCCCGAACTCAGGTGCGTCTCTCTGGAGTTGCGGCGCTGTCTGGAGCAATGAGGTGAGGCACCTTTCTGTTCAGTGATGCCTCGGGGGCAGACAAATTCAGCGACAGAAAGGGGATTCTCCAAACGCAATCTTCAGGTGGGACGGAACATGACAAAACGCCTTTTTTTCACAGCTAATCAGTCTCCATTGAGGCGATTTGCATCACCACGTCAACAGCCTCAGAACGATGAGGCACTGCCCTGATAGTAGTGGCATGCTTTGCTCCACTTTAATAGAGGCTTACACAATGAGACAGACGATATACAGATTTGTCAAATGTGTCCATGTCATGCAGTTGCGTAGGCGGTGACATTAAAGAGAGTTAGTTGCTTGGTTGGTTTCAACCTGTGTGGTTTGTCAGGATGGCGTCCGTGCATCGAGTGCTGAGGCCAAGATGTAGCAAGGTATAGTTGTTCATTGCGGTGTCTAGCAGTAGTAGCTTGATGAAGTGTCGTCATGGTAGCTTGACATGTCAGGTACCTCCAGTAGCGCAAGACCAAATGCGGCAAAGAGTGAGGCCATGTTTCTATGTCACAACCACCCCTTGCTGGTGCTGGGCTTTAACAAAGGCCCTTGTAATATATTTGTAAGTGGTTTCGCTTAGCTACAATGTGTTAGGATGTTCAGGTGTCGGACTCAACTGTACCTCTCATGGCTGCAAGCAAGAATGCCTTTTTAACAAGGAGCTTTTAAAGGGCACTAGGTCCAAGCTACCACAGTCTTTGCTAGTAACAAGAAGCTACCAGGTGGAGGCCATCGCTATTAGGGTGGAGGCCATTGCTACATATTGCTAGTAATAAGAAGCTACTAATTAGGGTGGAGGCCATTGCCATTAGGGTGGAGGCCATTGCTACTAGTAACAAGAAGCTACTAGGGTGGTTTCGGGCCTGCCTGGCTTGTCGATGTCACAGCAGGCGAAACTCCAACCACATTCGCTCTGAGCCATGCTCGCCTCCAACAGGCGCATACCTCCAAACGAAATTGATTTTGTCCACCTTTGGACACTCTTTCAATATCAAAGTTCTCAGGAGGCTTGGGCTTGCATACCATCAGGTGCCGCCACGATGCACATGTCATGTAAAACAATGTAAAACATCATCCATCCCTTTAAACTTTGTTTGGAACTGCTTTTCATCATTGCTTCATTGGCTTGATCCATGCGTGAATTGTTTGGCTTTGCAAGCACAGTAGATGTTAGATGTTTGTTTGCAGGGCAGCTACGTGTAGAGACCTTGGCAGACCTCCAAGACCACAAGGCAGATAAGCATCTGTGCCCAAACGCAATGGGCAACGTCGCAAGACACGACAACATCACAAGATGTGCTAAACCAAGATTGATATGCTAGATATCTCTTGGAGTCAGTGTGTCAGGCACACCAAGAGAAGGTGCTCTTGGTTGAAATCTGAGAGTCTGTTCTGTTGCGATGTACAAATCGACCTCAAGGGAAGGCACTTCGGAATTCTATCAGCAGATTGCTTGCATTACTTTGATCATATTGGAATCTATCCTTCAAGTGTCCTTCCCTTGGTGGGGAGTATTTGCGGCTTGCTCTCATGGCAGCTGGTAAAGTGATTTGCGGGCTTCAACGGATTCCGCACTTCCTTGCCCGTGTGTGTAGTAGCCCAAATGCCTAAAAAGTCGTGGATTATTGTTTGATATTTGGACACAACAGCTTGACTTGTGCCAACAAAGACGTTCAGAGAGCAGATGCAGGTTCTTTGGTATTGAGACACAAGAAACGAGTTGCGATAATGGAGACTAGTAGCGTTCTTGCTCCTAGTAGTAAGGCCAGGAGCCCCTAGTAGCGATGCCCTTGCTCCTAGTAGCGATGCCCTTTGTTCCTAATAGCGTCCTTTGTTCAGGACTTTTGGGATCCGGTGACCTTCATGCCACCCGGGAGTCGGCAGCCCCAGCCATACGCTCCTCTGGCCCCTTTGTTTTCGTAGACTCTCTTGCAAGGTCGGGAGAGAGAAAAGGTAGATGATCTGCTGAAGGAGAGTGGTCAATTGGTTCACGATGTTCATTGTGGTGCTCATCTGGCGTTACCAGACTTGTGTACAGCTGTGCAGGAACAGGAAGACAAAGAAGACCTTTCAAAGTTTGGGCTGTCCCCCTCACTTTCAGAAGCGACAGGCTTCTTTAGGCTAATAGCTCCCGAGGCGGGAATGATTGCATTTTGAGTCTACGGGGGAGCTTCCTTGAAGAAGCATGAGCTATCCTGCATCCTAAGTAGTAGTAGCTACTTTAGCTACTAGCTACCTCTAGCTACTACCTTCCTCTATGGCCTACCCCCTTTAAACATAGAGTCTAGTTTTTTTTCTGTGTTTGTCGAGAGGCCAAAGATGACGATGTTGAAACTGGTCACGAACGAGAGGCACCTGGTGCAGCTCCTTGGAGGCTGGTGGATCCAGACTGATGCCTTGTTTTTCTTCATTCGATATTGTTGGTTTATGTGTGTGTTTCTGTTTTTTGGGGGTAGGCTGTGAAGAGGATAGTAGCATAGATGCAGGATAGCTCACACACTATTCATTTGATTCCTAGATTTTTAGGGAAACATAGTATATACATAAGTCTTCAGTTCATTTTCTTCACGATTGTACGCACTGCCAGCAGGATCTTCCGCAACATGTCATTGGCAACATGCATCTTTTGGATGCTTGCAGGGGCGCTGCACCAAGTCCAAGAGTCCTAAGAATTGAACGTCCCAGTTCAAGAACCATATCACTTGGACAGCTTTCTAGAGAAGGTGCCCGAGCGATTGACAGAGGTGTGGTCGTTCATGACTGTTGCCATCCCTGAGCTTATTGACCTTGGATTGGCCTTCGAGGCTGAGAGTTGAAACATGTACAAAAGAAACATGTTTCAGTAAAGTTCCAGGAAGTCTCGCTCCACTGACTCTACTGCTTCCATGCATGTACTGACTAGCTTCCTTTGTGATGTCCAATAAGCATGGGAGTCAACATAGTTTTGCTTGGATCCTCGATTCTCTTCTCGCCTGAAATTCTGCTATGAGCTTCGGAAGTCAACCCCTCCAGCAAATTGCAAGGACGAGATTGCAGAGAAGCACAAGCCACAGCTGCTTGACAGCACCTTCTTTGGGCACCAGTTTGTGCTGCAAGGTCGTGTGCTTTGACAATCCCGGATACTGAGACGGGCAAGTAAATCCATTGCAAAAAGACAGGTGTCAGGTGTGCCCAAAGTGTGACTTATTTTCAATATTGGCACATTCCAGGGCTAAAGGCCTCTTTCTAAACAAAGTCTGCAGCTACTAGGAGCAAGGACGCTACTAGTAGCTCCTGGCCTTACTACTAGGAACGCTACTCTACTAGGAGCAAAGGGCATTGCTACTAGGAGCAAGGACGCTAGAGTGTCAAGAAAGACGCCTGCAAGGTCCGAACTTGTAGGTCTTGCTCCTCTCCATGAACCAGGCCTGAGTTTCAGCCAAGATACTCTGACAACATCTGTGTCTGTTTGTTACTTGATGTTGATTTTAATTGAATGGTGGGAAGTCTGCAGGCATGGTTACTGTTAATGTGGACATTGCTTGCTTGCTTGTTAGTTCTCCAAGACTTCAGCTTTCAGGATCTCAAGGTGAACGTCGGTCTTCACTGTTGGCTTTACGTCCTCGCCTGAGAGAGGACCGGCAAGGTGTTTCCTAAAACAGTTGGACACAGCTTCTCAATGCAGCTCACACCTGCAGCTGCATAGGCACTTCGGTGAAGACTGCCAAGTTTGAGCCTGTTCACACTACATGGCCGTACCCTGGAATCAGGTGAGGAGCCAAGCCTTTTTCTCGCTCAATGCATTTCTGCATTACTGGCTGTCAAGAAAAACCAAGGCCGACCGGCTTGTCTTGCGATGCTCGCGGCCACCACTTGCTGGTCACATGTCCCAGTATGATGTCCTTTGTAATTCTGATACACAGGGATGCTGTGAAATTTCCTTGGACATAATTTCTGAATCCTTTCCCATTGTACATCTCTTGAATTGACGGAGCACAAATTCAAGGTCCCGCAACGTCAGCTTTTGTAGGTGACTGATGGCTTGTCAACTTTCGTTGCAGCGGTGCACGAGAAGGCTGGGTGCTTCAATTTTTGGAAACTTTTCCACTGCCAGATACTGTTACGGATGCCAGGCAACACAGCTGCCTCAAAGCAAAGACAGTACAATGAGGCGGAGCTTGTTTGTCACTATATTATATATCGGGATAAATTGAACATGCCGTGTATATGTTGTTTGCAGTAGGAAGGCAGCGGCATCGTTTTGCGATATGTCTATTTATGGATTTGGGACCTTTTTGGAATTGCTTTTCTGCTTTACTTTTGTTTCTGTTTCTCTATCCTCAGCTTCTGTGCTTGTCCGCTTGTCTGCTTTTCAGCCTCTGTGGTTTTTGTGGCGTTGTCCCAGTTGTCCTGCTTTTTTCCTTGCTTTGCTTCTCTGCTTGTTTCCTTGTTCTTGCTATGATTGTTGTCATGGTCGTCGTTGTGGTTGTGGTTGCCTGTGGTTTGTGGTTGTTGTGGTTGTGGGTTGTAGTTGTTGTGGTTGTCGTGGTTGTTGTGGTTGTGGTTGCGGTTGTGTGGTTGTGGTTTTTGTGGTTCCTGTGATTGTTGTGGTTGTGGTTGGTTGTGATTTATGGTTGTTGTGGTTGTTGTGGTTGTTGTGGTTTGGGGGTTGGGTGGTGGTGGTTTGTGGTGGTGGTGGTGGTGGTGGTCGTGGTGGTGGTGGTGGTGGTTGTGGTGGTGGTGGTGGTGGTGGTTGCTGTGGTTGTGGTGGTTGTGGTTGCTGTGGTTGTGGTTGCCGTGGTTGCTGTGGCTGTGGTTGCTGTGGTTGCTGTGGCTGTGGTTGCTGTCGTTGTGGTTGTCGTGGTGGTGGTGGTGGTGGTGGTGGTTGTTGTTGTTGTTGTTGCTTGCTTTTTCTGCAATACAAGAGCAAGGAAGAACCTAAGGAAAGCAAAGGAAAACAGCAAGAAAGAATGTGAGCGACGAAGGAAGCAAGGAAGCAAGGCACCAAGCAAGGCAGTATAAGGAGGCACAAGGAAGCACAGGTACAATAAGCAAGCATAAGGAAGCATAAGGACAAGGAAGCCAGGAAGCTAGCAAGCCAGCACGCCAGCAAACCAGCCAGCCAGCCAGGAAGGAAGGAAGGAAGAGGGAGCAAAGCAACACACGCAAAAGAAACAAGAAAAAAGGAAGAAAGGATTCAAGACAGAAACAAGAAAGCAAGGAAAGAAAAGGAAAGGACAGGACAGGACACGCAACGCAACGGAAGGGAAGGGAAGAGAAAAAGGCAGAGAAAAGGGACGCAAGAAAGCGCATAATGCTTTTGGAGGGAGGCGCTGCACCCTTCCCGTTACTGCCCTCAGCGCGGAAATATGCACTGTATCCCCCACTCACTGCCTGCCCAAAATTCAAACTTTAAGGGGCCTTCCTTTTTCATGTTAAGCCTGGCAGTGTGCAACACAACAACAAGCTACACAACTTTCTCAGGATTATTCTTAGTGGCTTTGCCTATAGCTGCTTGCTAACATAGGAAATTACAGCTTCGTGTTCACAGCAACGGAGATGAGAGGTTCTCATGCCAAAGCTTTGCAAAACACTGCAGGATCTTGCCACGCCCATCAGTAAGTCCAAAGACACATCCAAACCTGAAACATATCCCAAACAAATCCGAACCTTTCAAGCGGCTCGGCAGTGTTCGGCAACTTTGTCTCTTCCACACTTTGTGAACATTTTGTGATACTGCTTTGCGCATATACTGCTTTGTGCATACCTCAACTATGCCTTGCATCCTCAGATGCTTTTTGCTGTTGCTTCAGGCTTCGCCACTTTCACCAGGACAATTCGCTCAGTGCCGACTTCATTCAGGACTGCTTGCAGCAGCTAGCAGTGTGGGTAATTATGCATGGTAAGATTGCGTTGGTTTTCTTTACAAGAGGCCTTGTGAGAAGGGCATGATTCACCGGAAACAAGACGATTGGACATCCATCATGGGTACACCAGAATTTTTGAGCATGCTCCCAAACAAGACATGCATCTGCATTTCTGCAAGCCTCTGACAGGCTGCGCCTTGTACTGCCCTCTTGGGCGAAAGACTGCAGGCCGACAGTTCTGATTTATACTCAAGAAACTGAGAGATAGAGCTCGTAATGATATGCAATGTTCATCCCGCCGTCCACACATTTCAGTTTGTCGTCGACGTAAGACAGGAATTCTTTGTAGAACTATCAGTAGCCGTGTTCGGCACACGTCAACGCAGGATACTGCTTTGACATGCTTCGAGAACACCACGGCCAGTTGCGAGGTGTGTTTGCCAGAGAAGTTTTGCTGGTGTGGAGATTGACGCCTAGAGATCGAGCAAAACAGTATATAATTAGTAATAAATTAAATCATGTGGGAACATGCACCAGCAAATCCGAAAATTGAGCGTGGTGCTTTGCTGCCAAAACTTAAGTTGGTGTTAGGATTTCCTGAAACTTTTAACATTTATCTCCTTCAACTGCTCCACTCTCATCCCGAGTTTATCCAACTCTCATGGAAGAGACTGTGTGCAGGACTCGTCAGCGTTTGATTGTGGGATATTGTGGCGCTTGGTGTGCTTGATGCGTTCTTGTGCCCTTTCCTTGTTGAGGCACTTAGTGATGCTTTTTTGGTGGTTTTGCTTGTTTGATGTGTTTGTCTTTCATTCCAAATGTTTTGCCACTGTGCTGCTGTGCATTTTTGGTTTTGTTGCTGATGCTGGTTCTGCAATTTTCTTGAGCTCTTTCTGGTGGTTCGCTTCTGTCGCTTTTTTGCTCTTGCCGCTTTTGCAGCCTGTCTGATGTGCTTTTTGCCTTCTTACTCCTACTGTACTCCTACCCCTCCTACTACTTCTACTCCTACTCCTACCTCCTCCACCTCCACCTCCACCTTCTTCACACCGGCCTGCTGTATTTTCTGCGTGAGTCGTCTCTTGATGTGGAGGTGTGTTTGAGGTTCGGGCTGGTGACGGCTCTTCAGGCGCTGGTGCTTCATCAGCAAGGCCGACGTGTGGCATCTTGCCACGTGGAAAATGGAGGCCGTGAGACTAGGGGCTCCTGGCATCGCTACTAGGAGCAAGGGCATCGCTACTAGGGGCTCCTGGCCTTACTACTAGGAGCAAGTAGCTACTACGAACAAATAGCTTCTTGTTACTACTAGTAAGGCCCTGGCTCCTAGTAGCGATGCACTTGTTACTAGTAGCTTTAGAATACAGCCAAGAGTCATGCCATGTCACCATTGCAACATTTGAGCTGAACACGCCGTGTGATTGTCGGATTTGTCGACATCCATCGTCGCAGGCGGCTCCAGCCTGTCTGTTTCGACTGCCTGGCTAGATGGACCGCTTGGGGCCTGGTGGGAAAGAAAGGGCCCCCGGACACAAAACACTTCCTTTCTAAAGTGCACCTTGGTGTGATGCAGAATCAGAAGCAACCTTATAATCCTTATAGTAGTCGTTATAGCAATCGGGGTGAGATTAAATGACAAGTCAAATTCTGAATCTAAGGCAATCAGCAGATCCTGAGAAGGCACTTGCCACAGTGTACTGGGCATAACCAACCTTTAATTGGTTTTAAGTTTTAACTGCCTTGAATGCTGAATTTCATGGCTTGTGGATTGCAGAAAGCATCTCCGTGCTTCCTTGCACATCATTTGACATGATTTGGACATTTTCATGCATCCACACTAGCTATTCATTAGTCATACTTTGTCCGGATTTCCGTTTGCTGCAGAGGCACTCTTCGTGATGATGGATCCTGCCTGCTTCAGCTCAAAGAGTGGCCCGCTCAAGCTATCACATTTTGAGACAAGATGGATACAGTAAATTATGGAAGGACGCATTGAACATATTGAATGAGAATAAACCAGATGAAGATCGAGCAGAACAGCTAAATTCAAGCTTTTGTTGAATATCATTGCATCCTTCTCAGCAGCTTGTGAGTCAATAGGTTCTGATTTGTTGGGCCCTAGTTGTGCATCTGCGCTCCCGTCATGTTTGGCACTTGTACTTGTACATGTTTAGTGGCATTCTGATGAAAACCACAAGAAGCCAAGAACTTAAGAAACAACAGGTTAGGAGAATAAGGGAAAAATAATGCGACACTAAACCCCCATGACTCACATGAGCATTGAGCAGAATGTGCATCGCCCTGTCAAGTTGAACCCATAGAGGTGCCTTGGACCCATCCCCAAGGCACACCTCGCAGCTTTGCCAGGTTGGTACATCTAAGCGACGAGCAGCACGACTACAGCGTGGGGCCAAAGGAGATGACCGCGCCCAATGTCAGCGTGACAGACGAAACAGTTCAAATGAGACTGCCATGTGGCTCAAGAGTTGAATTAGATGTGCCTATAGAGCTTTCCGCTTTTCATTGTTGAAGTCGCGCTGCTGCTTTGAAATGCGCTCTTAAAGTAGCTCACATTGACCAGGAGATGACTTGGTGCCTGTTGATGTTCTCGAAGAGAAGGATGCACTTGTGCACGCACCTTTTGACATATGTGCACTGATGAAAGCAAGAAACACATGTTTGACCCTCATTTGGACCGTCTTAATTCCTTTGCCCAAGGGCAATTCAGCTCACCTGTTCTTGAGCTGCTTTATTGCGCAAGTTGCCTCATAAGATCCAAGAGCTGTTGCTGGGAGGAAGTCGACCCTCTTCGGGGACGGCCCAAGAGCATGCGCTTGCTCACAGAGAGGTGCCCAGAGAAAATGATTTAGGACAACAATGGACAACCTACAGCAAGAATGCTATAACATGTAATAAGTTAATTACTAATTACTATTTATTAGTAATGTACATTATCATTATTTAGATAATGCAATCACTTCTCAAGAAGGCAATGCTTTTCGTGCATTTCTCATTCCAGGTATCTTGGTGTGCTGAATGCGGATGACAAGACCCTGGAGCTTCTGGACATGGACAATGGTGGCGGTCTTTGTCTTCTTCCTATTCCAGAGACTTGCAATTGCAGCCACTTTGAGGTGAAGCCACATCTGCAGCAATGCATTTGAAGACCGACATGCTAGGATCTCAGCAGCTTTGTTCGTGTTGCATGGCTCAATTGATGGAACAAAGTCGTATTCAGAAACTGCGCTGTATTCAGAAACTAGTCTTCAGAACCTATTTCGTTGTATTCAGAAACTAGGGGATTCAGAAACTATTTCGTTTTATTCAGAAACTAAGTTCCGAAAGCATGCTGTAATTTTTTTGGGGTGGGGTGGGACGGGGTGGGGGGGGTACGAGGGAATAATAGGTAGATATAAAGGTAGTTTCTGCTGGAAATATTTTAATAGTCTTGGCGCTGCTCTTCGTAGTTTCTGAGATCCCTCCAGTTTCCGAATACAACCGTCCCAGTTTCCGAATACCACCGTCCCAGTTTCCGAATATCGTTTTGTAGTACTCGAATATAAGTTTCCGAATACAACCGTTTAGTTTCCGAATACAACCGTGACCCCATTGATGCATTGCTGCAGATATTTATGTCCATTCACTGTTTGCTTTTAGAACATCTTAAGCCTCACGAAGCCTCAAATTCAGTTTGGTTGGCACTTTGCCATCAAGGTCCTTGGAAAGCTTCTGTGTAAGCGCTAACCACATCTTCCTCCTTGGCAGTGGTCCGCATCCAAAATTGTCCTGTTCTGAGGGCTTTAGCGGACTTTCAGTTCTTTGAACTCTTGTCGGGGACATATGCCACACTGCATAGTCCCGATATTTTGTGCCCAACTGAGGCTGAGACTTCCATTGAGATCGACTCTGACTGGCTGAACGAGCCAAACTACCCCTTCATTCCATGTCCCAACAAAGCATGTGTTTCTTTTGCTTGCCCAGGATGAAGATTGTACAAAGTTGTTGGTGGAAATGAGAATTGAGATGGGGAAACGAGAAGGGCTTGCCGCTTGCCCACGCAAAGATGGTTTGGACTCGGACGAGATTCATCCCGCGCAGCTCCGATTCACCACTGGTGAAAGCTTGCCAGACCAGGCGAACTGCCTAAATTGAACCAAAAAAAAGTAGGAAAATAGCACGAAGGTTGGATAGAACAGGTCGGATTCCTTGGGTAAGCAGTCACCAGCCCATGGCAGTGCTTCCAAGGATCATGCCGACAGAAAAGGTGCATTGCTTGTGTTGCAATTCAGAATGCCTATGACGCATGTTTCATAAACGAAAACATGGTGGTTTGGTTGCCACAATTGTGCACTTCAGAAACATCAATAGCGTTGGCTCTAAGTGTAAGCTGCTACAGACAATTCCACAACTGCTGACGGCTGATCAGATGTTCTACAATTGTGCCTTCACACTCTATCAACCCGTGCCCCGCTCGAAACAGCAAAGAATCTTACTGTACTAAAGTCTCCGGGAGATAGAAGACTAATTAACGCAGTCACTCGAAACCTGCATACCGGGTAAGGGCCGATACAGCAAACACCCCGCCGGTGGGGGCCGACCCAATTCTTGGAAATGAAAGAAGACACACCATAACAGCTAAAACAGCTGTTTTTCCTAGTACTTATTATATAGTAGTACTCACTTGTCATTTTGAATTTGATTCATCAGGAATTTGCGTAGGCCCAGGCTGCCACAGCCTAGAGGCTTTTAGCATATTACGCTCTTCTACACGTCACACTTTTGCTCCTTGATGCTGCCATGCACGGCAAGCTTACACCATGGGCACTTGGTAAATTGCCAACCACTATCCCCGACCCTGCATCGCGTGGCATATCGCTGCTTCAAATACAAGAACTTTCTGCATTTGTTCAACGACTATGTAAAACAGGGGTCTTACGACGTGCAGATCAACTTGGTGGCTCTGAATGGCTGCACTGGGAAGACATTTCCGTGCGGGAGACTGCCAACTTGATTCTAAAACCAGCCATCAAGTATTTGGCTGCTGGTATTTCCAAGAGCCAGGTGGGAGACCGATGCTCAGCTGAGCAGACCTGGAGCTGGGTTGAGCTTGTCGCCTATGGTCCACAAGACCCCAAAATCTTCGTATCATTCAGCAAGTACTGTGCGTTCCGAGACTTCATTGGCAATGTGAACCATTTGGCTGATGACCAAGGTCTCACTCTCCGAGACAACATGTGGATTGGCATGTTTGCATTTGAAGTGCCTTCCCCATCACAAGTGTTTGACTTGCTGAATTCTCCATCATTTAGTGCTTTCTCCAAGTCGGAAGCGACAGCCCTTTTCCTCGACAAACATGCTAGCATTTTAGAACGAAGCTGGTGCATTTTCGAGATGGCCATCATCACAGATACCACAACCAGCCGTCGCCGGTGGAAGCTGCGAGAAGAGATTGGAAATTTGCAGGGTTGCAGCATGTTTGATGTGGAAGACGAGAATGTGTTGCAAATTGAGATAGAGAGACACAAGGAGGATAGACCGAGCAGTGACCCACCTCAGTCTGAGAAGGGGCCGAAGGAGGTATGGGATTGGCTCAATAGCGAAATGGCTGGAGGAAGTGACTCTACTGTTCCACGGCAACAGCTGCGAGAGAGGATCCGTTCGATGCAGCACGAGGGAGTGAACGCAAAGCCGCTGCTTTTATGTTTAGCCCTCAGCGGGCTTTTTTGCATGTTCTTTCTGCATTAGATACAATAAAAGACTCATCCCCAATCCCAAGTTTGATAGTGTACCAGCTCATGTTCTCTATATAGCGGATTACAGCGGCCTATATTTGCAAAACGAACAGTGGCTTGCAGGTACACCAGATGGCTTGGTTGGCACGCGCCGTGCCACGTCCGTCCCAGTTCTTCATGCGATTCTACATTCTTTTTGTTGCACAAAGTGTGACAGTGATAATGAAGCTGAAAGACGATTGGTTATGAATTACATTGCGCAATGCTACTGTGAAGAAGACAAGAGTAGTGCAAACTTGCTGGATGGAATTCGGCCTTCTCACGGCGACTACGAGCTTGCCTCGGTCGAAACGGTCTCTGAGTTGCTACGTGCTCAGTGGCAGACTACGGCCATGGCGTTTGTTGAAATCTATGGTTTCGGTACTATCGCTCAGGCGCTTGGATGGCTCGCCAGAGTATCAGCATGAGCATTGCCGGGAAACCCAGAAAAGCCATGCAAAGCCAAGCAACAGCAACAGCAACAGCAACCATGAAGCGCTTGCAACGCAAACACATGCCGCAAACACAGGGCGACTGAGTGCATGTGAACCAAGGGCTCTTCACGGAAGATAAGACTTCCCTGAAGTTCAAAATGCTGGAGCACAGTATTCGCCAGGAGGGAAGTTTTTGTGTTGTATATCATAGCTACTAGGAACAAGAGGCTACTAGGAGCAAAGGGCATCGCTACTAGGAGCAAGCCTGGCCTTACTATACACTAGGAACAAGAAGCTACTAGGAGCAAAGGGCATCGCTGCTAGGAGCAAGGACGCTACTAGGGGCTCCTGGCCTTACTACTAGGAACAAGAAGCTACTAGGAGCAAAGGGCATCGCTACTAGGAGCGAGGACGCTACTAGGGGCTCCTGGAATTAGAACTAGGAACAAGAAGCTACTAGGAGCAAAAGGCATCTCTACTAGGAGCAAGGACGCTACTAGGGGCTCCTGGCCTTACTACTAGGTGCTAGAAGCTACTAGGAGCAAAGAGCATCGCTACTAGCAGCAAGGACGCTACTAGGGGCTCCTGGCCTTGCTACTAGGAACAAGAAGCTTAGGAGCAAGGATGCTACTAGGGGCTCCAGGCCTTACTACTAGGGACAAGAAGTTACTAGGAACAAAGGGCATCGCTACTAGGAGCAAGGACGCTACTAGGGGCTCCTGGCCATACTATACACTAGGAGAAAGAAGCTACTAGGAGCAAAGGGCATCGCTACTAGGAGCAAGCACGCTACTAGGGGCTCCAGGCCTTACTACTAGGGACAAAAGCTACTAGGAGCAAGGGGCATCGCTACTAGGGGTTCCTGGCCTTACTATATACTAGGAACAAGAAGCTACTAGGAGCAAAGGGCATCGCTACTAGGAGCAAGGACGCTACTAGGGGCTCCTGGCCTTACTACTAGGAACAAGAAGCTACTTGGAGCAAAAGGCATCTCTACTAGGAGCAAGGCCGCTACTAGGGGCTCCTGGCCTTACAACTAGGAACAAGAAGCTACTAGGAGCAAAAGGCATCTCTACTAGGAGCAAGGACGCTACTAGGGGCTCCTGGCCTTACTGCTAGGTGCTAGAAGCTACTAGGAGCAAAAGGCATTGCTACTAGGAGCAAGGACGCTACTGAGGGACTCCTGGCCTTACTACCAGGAACAAGAAGTTACTAGGAACAAAGGGCATCGCTACTAGGAGCAAGGACAAGAAGCTACTAGGAGCAAAAGGCATCGCTACTAGGAGCAAGGACGCTACTAGGGGCTCCTGGCCTTACTACTAGGTGCTAGAAGCTACTAGGAGCAAAGAGCATCGCTACTAGCAGCAAGGACGCTACTAGGGGCTCCTGGCCTTGCTACTAGGAACAAGAAGCTTAGGAGCAAGGACGCTAGTAGGGGCTCCCGGCCTTACCACTAGGAACAAGAAGTTGATAGGAGCAAAGGGCATCGCTACTAGGAGCAAGGACGCTACTAGGGACTCCTGGCCCTACTACCAGGAACAAGAAGCTACTAGGAGCCGGCCTTACTACTAGGAACAGGCAGTTACTAGGAGCAAAGGACATCGCTACTAGGAGCAAGGACGCTACTAGGGTCTCCTGGCCATACTATACACTAGGAGAAGGAAGCTACTAGGAGCAAAGGGCATCGCTACCAGGAGCAAGCACGCTACTAGCAGGAAGCCTTTGGTTCGTTTAGGTTCGTTTAGGTTCTTTCACAGACATATTAATCAGATATTGATTCGTGTTCGTTTTCTAAATACAGTACATCGATTCGATTCGCATTCGTTTCGTAAACGATTCGTTTCAACAACTCTGGTGCGTCAAAGTTGTTTATTCGGGGGTTGAACTGTGGTGTCTGAGGGGGTCTCAGCGCAACCCCCGAAATGCGGTTGTGAGGTCAAAGTGGTTTATTTGGGGGTTGAACTGTGGGGGTCTGAGTTCAACCCCCGAAACCAGGTTTTGAGGTCAAAGTGGTTTATTTGGGGGTTGAACTGTGGGGGTCTGAGGGGGTCTGAGTTCAACCCTCGAAATTGCGTTTTTGAGGTCAAAGTAGTTCATTTGGGGGTTGAATAGTGCGGGTCTCAGTTGAACCCCCGAAACAAGGTTTTTAGGTCAAAGTGGTTTATTTGGGGGTTGAATAGGATCTCAGAAATCGACATATTCTGTTTCGATTAGTGAGCGGGATCTGCAGAAATTTGTGGATGCATCGCCGTGCCTACCGTCTCAGAGCAAATTGGAATGTCGTAGGAAGTTCTTCACAGTAGTGAAATTTAGATTCTACAATGTTTTGCTCAGCTGCAGGATTCAAGGGGTATAAGATTCTAAGACCGAATAGTAGATTATACGTCTTGCTGCAAGCGAACATGGCCGCTGAGCGATCATGGGTCCACAGCATGTTCTGGCCAAAGAGAATGGGCGCTGGCGACTATAGATTTTGCAAGCTTTGCTTTGCAGAAGAAGACGAGCAACCGTCAGTGGATCAAGTGAGGCAACTCATAGATGCTGGTTTTGCGCCAAGTGGTGCTTTCAGGGGTTGTGTTTTGAACAAGGACACTCCCAGCGCAATGATGAATCATGTTCGTGCTAAGCATCCACAGCATTTGCCAGAGTATGTCCAGGAAGACAGGACACAAGGAAGTCCTCACAAGAAGCGCAAGTTGGATAGGGATTTGCTAGCTTCATGGGCAGAGCACGTCGTTCTAGGAGCGCTGAGAGAGGTGGACTTCATAGATGATCCCCATGTGCGAGCAGTTTTAGAGCCCCGACTGCCCGGGCTGGGTCATGAAGACAGTTTACAGAAGGAAGTGGATGCTTGTGTTGGCCGCATCCGGTCAGAGGTGCGGCGCAAAATTGCGGAGGCCAAAGCAGGAAAAGCGAAGTTTTGCTTGAGCGCTGACAGCTGGAAGCCGAAAATGCGCTTGCGGCGCTCCTACGTTGCGGTCTATTTGCACTCGATCAATGCCGATTGGGAGGCTGAGGCTGTATGTTGCGGAGTGCGTGAAACCTTTCCACCACGCACAGGTGAGAGCTACAAGGAGCACTTCGTACTTTGCCTTGAAAGCGTTGATTTAAAACCATGCGACATATCTTGTGGGCTTAGCGACCACGAAGGCGCAATTCGCCTTGGTCTTCGTCTTTTAGGAGATCAAGGAGACCTGCCTTTGGTGGGATGTGGGTGTCATTGTGTTCAGCTATGCGGCTGCATATAGTTTCTTGTGCGTCTTGCACTTCAACCCCCGAAACTATATTGGCCCTGAAGCCTGTTTGGGATTGGAATATGAGTAGACAAGATGATGTCGCACTTCAACCCCCAAAAGTGCGTTTTGAAAGGTCAAAGTGGTCGTTTGGGGGTTGGACAGTATAGACAAAAGTTCGCCTTGGCAATTCTATTCGTCTAAAGGGCATGTTAGCCACGCTATTGAGGCTGTGCATCAAACACACCCTACCACCTTTGCGGAACCAAGATGAAGAAGAATTTTCGGAGTCCAGTGATGACAGTGCATCATCATCAGATGATGAGGCTGGAGAACCTCGCGCAAACAAACCGGGTCGAAAAGCGGATCCTGAGGCAAAGGCCTTGCAGAAATGCCTCAAACCTTTCTTTCAAGCTTCAAGGGGCATGGTACAGTGGTACCGCCACAACTCAGACGCCGCTATTCAATTGGAAAAGGGCGCAAAAGCAGAAAGCTTGCGTTATCAAGCTTTTGCAGCGGAGACACCCACAAGATGGAGTTCCTCGATGGTATCCCTCATGTCGACTTTGCCAAACAACCAAGCTCACATGCTCTCAAAGCACAGGCACAACACCCGTGCGCCTGATGGCTTCAACCAGGAACAGGTGAACTTAGGACGTCAGCTTTGCAGAATTTTCATGCCCTTTAGACTGGCTACGAAGCTGCTAGAAGGAGACAAGGTATGCTTGCGCCGTGCTCAATTTGCACCTGAGTTTGAAGCCGAGTGTGTAGATTAGATGGATCTCAAAACAGAAGTCTTTTGGGATCGGGAGCTGCTTGCTGGGGCATAGGCAGGCACTTAGGGTTACACGGCGGTAAAATATGTAGCGCAGCGAATGAGTTGAGAAGGTTCGTGCTTCGATTCTTGGTTAATTGTGGGTTCGATTCGGTTCGGTTCGTTTCTTAACCGGTTCGTAATCGATTCGGTTCTATATGATTCCAAAACCTCGGTTCGTATCGATTTACAGGCTTACTGTACTAGGGCACCAGGCCTTACTACTAGGGACAAAAAGCTACTAGGAGCAAGGGGCATCGCTACTAGGAGCAAGGACGCTACTAGGGCTCCTGGCCTTACTATATACTAGGAACAAGAAGCTACTAGGAGCCAAGGGCATCGCTACTAGGAGCAAGGACGCTACTAGGCCTCCTGGCCTCACTATATATTAGGAACAAGAAGCTGCTAGGAGCAAAGGGCATCGCTACTAGAAGCAAGGACGCTCCTAGGGGCTCCTGGCCTTACTACTAGGAACAAGAAGCTACTAGAAGCAAAGGGCATCGCTACTAGGAGCAAGGACGCTACTAGGTGCTCCTGGCCTTACTACTAGGAACAAGAAGCTACTGGGAGCAAAGGGCATCGCTACTAGGAGCAAGGACGCTACTAGGGGCTCCTGGCCTTACCACTAGGAACTAGAAGCTACTAGGAGCAAAGGGCATGGCTACTAGCAGGAAGGACGCTACTAGGGGCTCCTGGCCTTACTGTACACTTGGAACAAGAAGCTACTAGGAGCAAAGGGCATCGCTACTAGGAGCAAGGACGCTACGGCGCCTTGCCTTACCACTAGGAACTGGAAGCTACTAGGAGGAAAGGGCGTCGCTACTATAGCAGCAAGGACGCTACTAGGGGCTCCTGGCCTTGCTATTTACTAGGAGCAAGGACGCTACTAGGAGCAAAGGGCATCGCGGCATCGCTACTGGGAGCAAGGACGCTACTAGGGGCTCCTGGCCTTACTACTACATTGCGAGCTTAACGCGGACAGCCGGACCGCCATTTGTCGATCAGCCAGCCCGTCGGCCGGCCGGCTGGCCAAAACGGCGCCAGCTGGCGGGCCGGCGGGCCAAAAACCACAGCGTCAACTGGCCGACCGGCCCTATCGTTCCACCACTACCACGACTACCTGCTACTGCTGCTACTACTACTCCTGCTCTTGCTCCTACTCCTCACTCCTACTCCCAACTACTACTACTACTCCTCCTCCTGCTTTTGCTCCTACTCCTACACCTACTCCTACTCCTCGCTCCTGCTCCTACAGGCTACTACTACTACTACTACTACCACTACCACTACCACTACCACTACCACCACCACTACTACCACTACTACCACTACTACCACTACTACCACTACTACCACTACTACCACTACTACCACTACTACCACTACTACCACTACTACCACTACTACCTACTACCTACTACCTACTACCTACTACCACTACTACTATTACTATTACTACTACTACTACTACTACTACTACTACTACTATTTACTACTATTTACTACTATTTACTACTACTACTACTACTACTACTAGTTACTATTTACTACTACTACTACTACTGCTACTACTACTACTACTACTACCTACTACCTACTACCTACTACCTACTACCTACTACCTACT